TACTCTCTGTCCAGTGAAGAGGGGAGAGAGCCGAGAGAGCTACTGCTCTTGTACACAATAAAAAAGTAAACTGGAGAAGAAAAATCTTCGATGAAAAGGTAAACTGGAGAAGAAAAATCTTTTATGAAAAAGTAAACTCTTTTATGAAAAAAAAAAAATCTTCTATGAAAAAGTAAACTGGAGAATAAAAATTTTCAATGAGAAAGTAAACTGGAGAAGAAAAATCTTGCTCGTGTACACATTGCTGGATCAAGATCAGGCTCAGGTAAGTATTTAGGGGGGTTGAATGCAGAAGGTTTTTTACCTTAATGAACAGAATGCACTTAAGTTATTAAAAATGCAAGCTTTCAGGATAGTTTACAACCATTTGTCAGGATTTATACGTTTAGAAATGTATAATCCCATAGGGGATCTAAATTATTCTTAGTGTTACTAAACCTACAACAGTAAAATCAGTCTGTATATGCAGTAAAGCATGTTTGTTATATTCACTGTGGAACCTAAGGGGTTAATCCTCTGCATTGAGTAAAAAGGCTATTTGATCCTGATTTCTCTGATCCTCCCCTTCTTATAGTACCCCCCTCTTATTTCCTGATAAGCCATATCGTGTGGAGACACTCTGCACATGCTCACTTTGGTGTGTATTGCTAGAGAGGGATTATTTTTCTTGGGAGAGTGCATGTGATCAGCACAGGGCCAATCAGTACTGTCCAGACAGAGGTCAGGGGTTCTGCATCCTCCTAAAGCAGAAAGAAAACTCCTCGTACAAGCTTTAACATGTGCTCTGCTGAACACCGATAGAAGTCACAAGACTTCTATAACTGCTGATGAGAAAAGGCATTTAGCAGTTTAAATTTCCTAAAACAATTGCATTTCCATGTTCTGTGTACTGAGGGAGACCAGATATAGTGAATGCAGGGTCCTGGGTTTAGTAACACTTTAACGCTTGCATCTATAAAAGAGAAGTAGAGCTAAACCTTTAGGGTCACAGGAATACATTTACTGTACTATACATGTGACTCAGAGCCAGCTAACAGTGAGCTATTGTCTGTTATCAGCTAATGGGGCAGAGCCACACAAAGCTTTGGAAGAACCCTCACAATGTGGTAGGGATCCATCCAGCTGCCTGAGTGACAGTAGGCTCACCTTCTCCCTAGCCTGGTTCTCCAGTGAGCATTGAAAGAGCAGAACTGAGATCAGCGATTGATAGTTACTTTACTCCAAGTAGATCGAGAGCTGGCTGATGACAGCAGTCATGTGATTGCTCAATTCTTGGTCTAAAGTCGACCATAGATGTAGTGAACTGGCTGAGATTTGACTGCCTATGGGCAGTCTGACTGTACCCAAGTCCATCCATCGATCAACTTAGGTACAACCACCTTGACAGATTTTTTATATGCAATTACTTCCAGAGGCTGTGGGACAGCTGCAGTGTAATACCGTTGTTGTGACACTGAGGTAAGCCTGTATATATATATTTTTTAAGTACTCCCACAGTTCTCCTTTAATAACTTAAATTAGCCAATAAAGGGTATCTTTTGAACTTCAAAATTATTCATTAATTGATAGCCAACAGGGTACAACGCTCTTCAACTACTACGAGTTATAATTTACAAATGTATGAACACAAGTTCTCTCAGTGCCTACAGTATATCTCAAATATTGTATCAACATAGTATAGAAAAACTCCACTTATCTTGTCCTTTTTTTCCCTTAAAGTTCTGGTAATGAACCTTCAAATAAAATGTAAACTTACCAAAGTTCCTAAACTCAGCAAACTCCGGTGATAAACTGTCTAACCCACGTGTGTCAAACTGGTGGCCCTCCAGCTGTTGCCCAACTACAAGTCCCATGAAGCACTGCAAGACTGACAGTTACAAGCATGACTCCCAAAGGCAGAGGCATGATGGGACTTGTAGTTTCGCAACAGCTGGAGGGCTGGCAGTTTGACACCCCTGGCCTAACCCCTACTCAGATGAACAAAAATTCCAACTTAAAGGTGGCTGACCCCTGGTAATTGAGACATTTAGGAAGTATGGAATATATTGTACCTGTGTCCAAAAGGAAGTAGGAAAGCTGCTATGTCATGGCCCGCTCACATCGCCGGCTTTTAGAGAACTGGTAGTGTGCAAAGCATTTTTCTGCTTGTCTCAAAAGTGCTGGCTCTAGAAAAACACTGGCTCTTGGTCATCCACTGCCAGATTTAATGCCGTTTCATAATGCATCATATTCATTTAATAAAACACTAACTGACCTTCAGAGTCCCTGCCTCTGATTAGCATTTTCCACAGCAGAAACGTTTTGTGCATTTCATAAAGGAAAATATAGGTGCAGCAATTTCTGTTCCAGGACTACCAACAGTTCAGGACAGTCCTGTAGAGTGGCAGAACACAACACCTATGCTCAGTGCTAGGCAGCAGAAAAAGGCCGCAGTCAAATATCCTTGTGAACTTGAAGAGGCAAAAGTGTAATATGTCTTGAATAAAAAATGCACGCAAATTGGCCATGGTCAGCAGCTACAGTCTGAATGCATAAGCAGGGACAAGCAGAGGATTTTAGCAAGAGGGACATCAACAATGTCATTACCCAAGATCACATATTGTCTATGTATATTGTTGATCAATCAATCCATTTATCTATCTGTCTATCTATCAATCAATCTACCTATCTAGATGCAAAGTGTATTTATACTTTGGCCACACTGGGTGAGACTTGGCATGCGATTTGCATGCCATGCGACTTGCAAATCGCATGCAAAGTCGCACCCTATTGTCTGCAATTACGGCAGTCAAATCCCTGTGGTTCCGACTTGGTCGGAGCCACACCGATTTCTAAAGTAGTACATGCACTACTTTTCGTGCGATTTGCATAGACATCTGTGTCAGATGTCTTGCAAATCGCACCTGAATTCGGTAGGTCACCCGTCTTTGAAATCGTGCAACTTCACTGCAAGTCGCACGATTTCAAAGTCGGGCTTGATGTGACCGGGGGGTTAAGGGTTTCCTGCCTGTGGTTATTCATCATCGTTACACATCTAACCAGGTATGCTGCTACTGAGTATTAGACATTAGTATTAGGACATTAGATTTATTGCTGTCAGAATTGCCCTGAGAAAAGTTAATTATTTCTGCCTCAAGATGATGTTGGTGGATATGTAGTACTCTTGAGTCACAATTACAGAATATTGAATGCTGGGATATGTAGTTTGGGCTATAAGCAGTGCTACTGCAATGCAGAGAGGAGAAACCACAAGCTCCATTAGACCAGGAGACAGGAGGAGTTCAAAGGGGGTATAAATTGAACTCCTCTTGTCTCCAGGGGGGCATAAATTGAAAATCCCATGAAAAGAGAGGGGTTTTCTTGGGGGTTCACCGTCATCCCGAGGAGCTGCAAGAGAAAGGTAGAGTCATGGAGAAGGCCTGTGTGACTTCACTGCTGAGATGCTGACAGATTTACACCATGGAAAGCCACTAAGTAACACTACAGCTCGCCAATGTTGTTAATGATGGAGTTCCCTCCCACCAGCGACACGTCATGATGGAGCTTTGCAATCACGCAAATAAGGAGGAAAAAGGGTATTTTGCATTGATTTGTACTAAAATGCATGCATTGCATGTGTTGTGTTGTAAAGCCCAAATGTCTGCCAAGCCAGTGCTTAATCCCCTGCATACTGCTGGGCAGACTTCTACCACTACCACCAGCTTATTTTATTAAAAGCCACAGTCTAGGCAACAGGTAAACTCCATCCACCACCCTGCTCTGGACCTAAAGGGGCTATTTGTCATACTAATCTAAATGTAACATAAAAATCAGATTTTTGTAAATGCTATATGTAAATATGATCGTGTATCCCTCTACCCAGATTCCTATCTGAGTTTAGCAAGATAATAAATCCATGGGCTCTCAAAGGCATTCACTTTAAAAGGGAGGATTCCGGACATCTACTTCACTTGCCCTTGATGTAGCTTTTAACTCAATATGTACAAAAAAAAAAGATAATGTTTGTAAAGCCCTATATTAGCTGCTCTGAGCAACATCAACAATCATTTGTTTGCTATGCATTGACTGCTTCCATAGCCAACTCAATTTTTAAAACATATGCTCTTTAAGCCGAACTGCTAAAAAAACCATTCTGCAGTTTATTCTGCATATTGATTTCCTTCTACTCTTTTTCCTCCTTATCAACATGCTGATTAAATTGTTATATACAGCCTTTCTGCTTTCGATTGAAATCCAGTAGGTTCAGCAGTGACCAGCCACATTTCGATCCATGTATGATTGTTCCCATTTAAAGACAGTTGATCACTAGATCATTATTCCTATTGAATAGTAATGTTGGAAAACTTTTGTGAATCAACAACTGCAGCCATTGATCAGTGTATTAGGACAGCAGAGGAAGATTGTCAGAATACAATGTCCCAGTTGTGAGGATTCCTCTGCCCATCTCTCTTGTGTGGATGGAGGAATCTGTTTGTTCATTTCAATCAGCACACTGGCTGATCAAAAAAAAAAGTCACCTATAGCCAGTTTAAGATGTGACGCACTTTGGGACAGGGAAATAAACACAGATATGATGCTCTAACAAGAGGAATGATGGGGTCTGCCTGTCCGTTTTTCAGGCAGACCTGATTGGTTCATCTATAGACTTCTATGGACCGGCGGGTGATCCAATCCTGCACGCCAAAAACAGATAGATGGGGATCCATTTCCCATCCGTCTATCGGATCGGATGACAATCGGGAGAAAATGGACAAGCAGTCTGTTTCCATCGGACCATCCCATTAAAAAAAAGTGGGCAGTGTCTGTGTCCGCTCTGCAGCAGCAGCACATTGGACAGAGACCTGTCATCTGCCTGTTCAGCGGGGATCAGCCGAGATATCCCCCCGCTGAGCAGGGGGAACACACTGATGGATCCGCCCCATCTGAAAGGGGCTCACTTGCATTTATTTCATGACATCCACCTCAGAATTTTTTCAATACACCATCATGCGGTCACTTACCAACATACCCAGGGGTTCCACAGGCTGTTGACATCACATCTCCTTTACCTTCCATCTTGGAGAGACCAAAATCGCTTATCATAATCTTTGATTCTCCTTCTTGACTAAAATACAGTAGATTTTCAGGCTAGACAGGAACAAACAAAAAAAATCACAGTTTAGTACATGATAAACCCAGTATGGGAGTGTCATCCACACCAAACACAAGGTTTTAATGTTGTTACTCACTTTCAGATCCCTATGTACAATTCCAAGTCTGTGAAGGTAGAAAACGGCATCTAACACCTGACGGATAAGCGTGCTTGCATCTTTTTCAGTGTAAAATCCTTTCTCCACTATTCGGTCAAACAGCTCTCCCCCAGAAACTCTGTTAAACATTCAAAATAAAAAACAAGCATAAGCAAATGCCAGTGTGCATGGATAACTCCAAGGTATAAATGTAATAAATTATATAAATTTGGCATCCAAGTGATATTTGAGGCTTATGTTTGTGCCCTTTCCCTTTGCCAATAATGGTTTATTATCCACCTAATTAATTGGTATTTACTGATGTTGTCGTTAACATAACTTCATATCGAGCAGGACATTGGGCAATAAAAGTCACAATCTGAAGAGATTATCTAGTCTAATAGTAACAATGGAAGTAAAGACACAAAAGTAAATACATAGAACAGAATCCCAGCTAAATGCAATAAAATCCTCTGTTTAGTGGGAAAAATAAAACAATCAAATAGCTTTTTGGCCGTTACTGCCAGAAATATACTTTTGTTTTTCATTATTACCACTCACCCTACAATATTCCTTTCAATCTATCATTCTCAGCATTTGAAGTCCAGCAACACGAGGTATAAAATTGGATTGAAATGAATAAAAATAGCCATAACCTTGACTTCTCAACTTGTACCAGTTTCAGAAATGTCATTTCCCTGTGTATCTGGTTTAACATTTTATAAAAAAATATTAAAGTAAAACTAGGGGATAAACAAAAAAATGCAATTAAGCATCAATAGTAAAGATAATTGGCTGTCTGTATTTACCATTAAATCCCTGGTAAACTGCAAAATCCAACTTTAATCCTGGCATCTGAAGTTTGATTTTATCATATCCTCTTTTCAGGGGTCAATGCTTAAAGCACACTGCTATGAGTCCTCATGCACACTGGACGTTTTGATAAGGCTGGTAAAGTTAGCTGTGTAAAGTCACAATAAATATGAGTTTTTCAGCTTTTTCAGCATTTTTGCATTAGTGTTTAGCGGCATTTTGCCACGATTAGCATCGTTTTATGTCTTTGTGTTTTTTTTTTTAATTAACTTTTATTTTTGGTCAAAAAGTCCAAAAACTTTGGTTTGCGGCAGTTTACCGCGTTTTGCCACATTTTTCGTCATTAGAGCAATTTTACAGCTAAAAAACTCCTCTAGAAACCCACTAGTCCTGGGTTATTTTCCAGCCAAAAAAATGTCTTAGTCCTCATACACACTTTTTTACAGCTGCTGTTTTTGGCTTTTGACATTTTTTTTTACAGCTAGTGAACCCCCCAGCATGTTATCCTATGTGTCCATGCACACATAAACTGTAATCAACGTTTTTTGGCAGGGATGTTTTTTGGCTGGAAGAAAACCCAGGACTAGTGGATTCCTAGAGGAGTGTTTTTAGCTGTAAAATGTGGTAAAACGCAGCAAACCAGTGTTTTTGGACTTTTTTTGAGCAAACAAATATTTTTTTTTGGGGAAAGGATAAATAACGCAAACGCAGAAAAACACTGCTACACACCAATGCAAAATACGTCCAGCGTGCATGAGGACTAAAAGCTAGTTGGCTCCTTTTACATTGTCTGGGCTTGTTCTGATGCAGTGACGTCATGCTGTAAATAATGTGATGGGCTACTGGGAAACTATGGGGATTGTGGATAACCCCATCTACCACTCTCTTTAACACTTTGGCCAAGAGTAGCGGTATTTCGAACCATGTGATCAGAATTTGCAATAAAATTAGAGGTAATCAAGATTTGGAGCACAACACAATTCTTCAAAGGACTGTACTTTAATAACTTGTAGTTGTACTTTAAACATTCACAGACTCTGCTGATTTAACATCATTTAAAAATGTATCTGTTACTATTACAGTTGCTTGTACGGTCTGCTGTAGAAATACATTTTAATCTTCAAATAAAAAAGCATCCTGCAACCACGTGAAACTATACTTTTATGCAGACACAGTGCAGATTCGGGTCATTATGACAACTCATGTGGATTACTGTCTCCAACTACCTGGTCTCTTCACAGTACTCAGGAAATGTACAGTGTCAGCAATATTCCATCCCTTATTATGGTACATTTTAATCTCCTGATGAAAAATTAGGAAAGTGCCTGCATGTGGTTCAATCTGTCAATAGCAGGAGATTAAAAGTACCTTGTAAAGCTCCTGCCTTAGCTCGGGCTGACTGGCAAAAAATAAAAAAAATACAATTAAAATGTGCGAAAATTGATTGAAAGAAGAGATTGCATGTCCAGTTCAGCAATCTGCTTATGTCTAATGAATACAATTCCTACCAATCCAATCACTGTGTAATATAACCTAGCCCAGATGTTATGAATACATTGGTTCCAATGTGAGCCAAAGCACATTTGGATTTCAATGTAAACCTATGAAACTTAGTTCACTGTATAACCATACAATATATACTGCCAGCAGTAGACTGACAATGAGTCAATTTATAACATTCGGCACAGTGAGACATTTACAGTAAGTATATTGTACTACAAGACTCCAAGATCTACTCTTATTCAGCAACAGTCCAAAGGTAACAATCTATGCAAATATGCATATGCATTCTCTTAAATGTGGTGAGATTGGCAAGAGATAAATTCTAGGTTTAGAATGGGGCAGCATTAGTACCTGTGTTAGATTTTGACTAAAACCTGGGTTACCTCTGTGTGAAGAAGCACACTCAAAATGTGCCCCGGTTAAAAGCTGATGTTCGTACAATTCCCAGTGTGGCCACGCGGTGGAGCCTTCCCCTAGTATATATTTAGTGGGTTGTGTGGCAGAGAGAGCTCACACAGAGGGTCTAAGGCTAGGTTCACACCTATGCATGTTGCGTTTGAGCCGTTTCTGCATTGTGTTTTTGGTGCGTTTTGCGGTTTTTTCTTTTTAATTTTTCATGTTGCTAGGCAGATTTAAAATGCAAAACGCATAAAAAAATGCAGCAATAACGCAATACATGCTTTTTTGCAGCGTTTCCATTGAAGTCTGTAGAACCAAAAACGCAACTTTTTGCATTAAAAAAAGTCGCTGACCCTTTCCAAAAACACACCGAGTGAAAACGTGCAGATGTGAACATCTTTATCCGCACATTACACCGTTCCTTCAGCGGATGTGCGAATCAATGTGCCGATGAAGAAGTGCTCCTTGATGTACATCAGATATTCAGTAATGAATCCTACCTGGCTGCAACACCCAGTGAACTCTGCAACAGTCTATTGAGCACTTGTTACGTGGCGACTGAGAACTCCTCTTCTGAGACTCGAGAGAGCCAGCATGCTGTCACAGCAAATAGACTTACAACAACCTTTGCCCTACTGACACCATCCACTGCCCTACTGACACCGTCCACTGCCCTACTGACACCGTCCACTGCCCTACTGACACCTGTCCACTGCCCTACTGACACCGTCCACTGCCCTACTGACATCGTCCACTGCCCTACTGACATCGTCCACTGCCCTACTGACACCGTCCACTGCCCTACTGACACCGTCCACTGCCCTACTGACACCGTCCACTGCCCTACTGACACCGTCCACTGCCCTACTGACACTGTCCATTTTTAAGAGAGTCATATCCAGAGATTGTAGGTCTGGAGTATTGGAGCCATTCTGGGAAAGTTGCTGTGGAAAGTCATTCACTGAGGCTATTGGTTTGGAGTGTTGAAACCATCCTGAGAAAAGTTGATGTATATGAGCGATTATCCTGGTCTGAAGAAATATATGTTTAAATCAAAGCGTATTTTGACAACCATGAGAGTGGGAGGAAATAAAGTTGGTGAGTGCAAACCTAAAGGGGGAGCACAGCACAATTTGGATATTTATTTATTTACAGTCATATGGTGATTTATTTTGAAAAATTCAACCCACACAGTGATTTTAAAAAGGGGACTTTTATTGATGGACTTTTTGTTAATGAATTGTTTTTAATTTTTTATGATTTACAGAGCGCTGCATATATATTTTGCCATTTCAAAATAATATTTATTGGTTACAATTTTTTGTTTACAGGAGGAAGTAGCAGCTATATATGGTTTTATTTATTCACTTATTAATTTAATATTTTTTTCACTTATGAATTTACCATTTTGAGCACAGTTTATATTCAGTAAAGCGGATTATATACACATACTTATTTTTTATATATACTGTATATATATATATATATATATATATATATATATATCTTCCACTTGGGGATATACTGTGTGTTATATATCTTTTGAACTTGTTCAGCTGGGAAGATTGCAGGTTTAAGTGCTGGGCCTTGTAATGTACATGTGCTGGGAAATGTACGCTTATTTGCTCTTTCTGGGAGCAGGGACTCACGTTAATGTGAAATTAGGGCAAGAGGCCTGTTAGTGGTACACAGGAATAAAGCATTGTGCCCATGTTCTAATGGCCCTGCCTACACGGTGCCCATTGTCACCAGGACTCAAAGGGACGCAAAGGGAAATACAAAATTTTACAGCTGCCCCTGAAACAAGAAGATATATTCTGCTGTACGGTGACACAAGCCAACAATAAATACCCAAAAGAAGTTTTGATTTGTGACAGTCCTTTTACCCGTGTTTTTTTTGGAATTTGAAGTGGTGCAAAACACTTCTGATGTAGTTCCACTCTAGATGTCTTTGTTAAACACCTTCACTGGCAGATGACATTATAGAAAAACTTCACCAAAGTGAAAGATATCTCAAGGGCCCTCCTTAGACAAGAATTGTAGGCAGGTAGCAGAAGAATCTTACATATCAACAAAGAAACAGGTCTTCAAGGGCACTGCTATAAGAAATATGGCTTTACCTCTACACTACACAGGTATCCCATCGCCACCCAGTGATGGCAAGACCCAAACCTCTTGCAGCAAGACTCTTATTATATCTAAAACTGAGAGTACATAAATGTTACACTTTAAAGGATGTTAGCTCTTCAAGGTTGGACTTTAATACAATGGATCCATGTGCTCAGGAACTATATAGTCTACTCTGTCTTTAAGCCAGATTTGCATTGTATTTCTCAAAAATAGGGACAATGATCTCAGGTTTGGTTACCACTGGTTTAGTAAGTCTGCCCATATTATTCTAGATTTACAAGTTGTTTTTTTAATACTGAGATTAC